TTCCGGACAAAAACTAAGGTGAAAAGATTTTTTTGGACAAAAACACAGATTTCCTTTTCGTAACCCTGTCTACACTCATTTCGCATTATCTTAACAATAAGGCTGTCCACGAGACAGCTCCGATCAGCTGACTTTTTTGCTTACTTTTGACCGATCACAGTAGAACCAACAATCAATACGAAACTAACGATTTTAAATTGGCTCACTACTTGACCAGCCTATAGAATGGTAGAACCATAGAGGTAGCTCTAAGACCAGAATGTCCCGAAGAAACGTGCTCAACTTTTTGGCTCAGCTCGGGTACTCTCTTCGGTCCCAAGCTAATCGATTCACCCCTCGAAACATAGGAAAATCCACTAACCCCTCATTTTATCTGTCAAACTTTCATAGAGAATCAAAACAAGCATAGTGCAGTACTAGAATTTCAACTAGAATGGGGTCCGTTAATCGATTTGCTTGGGACCAATAGGCTAGACAAGTAGAGAGCAAATTTCAAATCGATAGTTTCGTATTGATTGTTGGTAGAACTGGCAGTTTATTCTCATGTGAATTTCTGCTTTGTTTATATTTACATTCAGCACCATTAACACCAGATCACTCGAACACTCTAGATTTCTAGCTGTCAGTTCCACTGAGAAACATTTCTTGGATCACGTTATTGACAATTCGCCTTTTCGTTCACGGTAAAATCCGTAAAATCCCATAAGGAAACATCAGTCTGGCCGTGAAACATGGTGAACATTTCCTTACCGTTTCACTCCTATGAAAATCCCATAAGATTATGTCAATCTTTCCGTGAATAGACGGTGGCTTGCTCGTACCATGGTGTAATGAAGAGATAAGACAAAGTCCACTAGATTTCATGCACACATTGTCAGATGCTTATGAGATTTTACCGTAGGGGTAAAGGGTTGCAGAGTCGCCGTCAACATCAATGCTTACCCAACAAACAATTCAGAGTCACAAATAAGCATATATATTGGATAAATGCTGTATAACAATGTACAATGCTGAATAAAACGAGTTGTCGAATTATGTGCTGAAAAGGCTCATTGAGATTGATAGATGCACATTTATTCCACTGTTTGCTCTGATCTGATTAATTGACTTATTGAGAGCTGTAAAAGCGTTAAATGTCTTCCCAATTCAACGCCAGAAGTTTGATCTAATAACAAACTGAATAAGTGTAATTTGTACATACATTGACACTTTAATTAGACTGTTTTCAATTGATTTAATAACATGCTTTATTAGACGTTTAGGTTCATTGATTTACAGTTTTCATTGCATTGCTTTACAGTTTTGCTGAATAAAGGTGAATACAGTCACTATAATAGATCTTATACCACTATGCGTCCATGTTGAAATCACATGATTTGTAAATGCTTTATAAACAACGTATTAGATCCATTATTCGACAACACTGGTTCAGTCTAACAACAAGACGAAATCAGTAGAGTAGTGGTTACCATTTTCGCTTTCCAAGTAGAAGGTCGTGAGTTCAATCCCAAGCTCAACCCTTTTTTAGTTGTGTTCTACGTCTAATTAATTTAAATAGTAATCATCGGTCACTTGACTCAGGACAATGAATGCATTGATCTAGTTTAAATATAACCGAGCATCCTTTCTTTCGACTTGAAGAGGTGAAGAGGTAACATTGGTCTAATTTAAAACAACGCTGAATGAATTAATCATTCCCACAGGGTCTTGAAGGAGCTAGAGTTGCGATCGAGAGTGCTGATAGGTATTTACTTACAAGCAAGCTTTTATTGGTTATCGAGTTGCCCATTTGATAATTGCTAGGATAGATCAGATGACAAGGCAAGCGGCTGGTGATCGGTTCGAATCCCATGCAACGACATGTATAAGTATTTAATAAATTTTCTAATATCGTCACGCGTGCCACGTCAGAAATAATGAAAATATAATCACCCTTCCCTGTCCCCGTCTCTTATTTTCAGGTTAATTTTCCCACAGTTGAATAATCGTTAATAAAAGTAGTTAATTAAACGTTACTTCACATGAGATGACAATCAAGCGTATACAGTGCATCACTGTTTTAAGAAAGCAGTGATGCCTAATAAACGCTGAATAATCAAAAAAAAATATCGTATAAACTCTGTTACAACTAGGGTTACCATATGGTATCCTAAAGGAGGACATGTCCTCCTTTTTCAATAATTTTTCTACGTCCTCCTTTTGCCCAAAAATGTCCTCCTTTTTAATCCTTGCATATTTCCAGTAACATATTAATAAAATTGTTTTAAAAAAGCGTTGTTTGCAGAGCTTATTTGTTTAATTATGTCGCAACTTTATCTTATCTAGCAAATGCCATTCGATGGTGGGACTAGGAGTATACTACAGCTGTCAACTCCCCACATTTAGGCTGCGGTCAAGATTGCTGTCCATATCGTGAATTTAATCTAAATTTGACAGATGGAAACTTTTTAAATAAACCTGCATATTTCAGACCAACCAGGAATCAATTTTGACAGTCAATTTCTCGAAAATCGGACGATCAACAACAGAGGGATTTTCGAACATTCTATATTATCTTCGAAGAGTAAATGAAAAATCATTAATTTTTTCTGTATTTTTACTTCAATTTGACATTTTGAAAATAAATTATAATGTTCGAAAAACTCTCTGGTATATTCACCAGGTTGCTTAGATGTTCCATGTTGGTTTCAATCGCGATGACATGTATCCTGATTTTTGTACATGATAAAGGCTGGGATGGTTTTAAGGCTATAAAGCTGCAGTTTTCATGCAAATCAGCTAGACGAGAGCATTTCCAAGTATCAAACATGAATTATGAAGGCTATTTTGATGCATTTTTCAGAAGTAAAACGAGAAAATGAATTAAATTGATATCTACCACAAGTTATGAACAATCTCAATTGAACCTTCGCAAATCATGAATTTTGTGATAGCGCACAAACGTTTGATAAAAACTCATTGTCCTCCTTTAATGTTAAGAAAAGGAATCATTGTCCTCCTTAATCTCCAAACCTCAAATGAAATGTCCTCCTTTTCAAGTTTTTAATATGGTAAGCCTAGTTACAACCCATATAAGTCGAATAAAAGCTTCTTGATATACCTTATACAGCACCAAGTAGTTCAATGTTGTGGATGAATAAATTCTCCAGATTTGTGTGAACAAAGCCTGAACAGAAGTTATTATTAAAAATAGTACAAGTACTATTAAGCATGCAGTTGAATAAAATGGCCAAGAAGTCGTTTCTTCACTAGACGATTGTTTGTTGGGTAGTGAGCATGCAACCTTTTCTTTCACAATAGCCAATGTCGGAAACGTAAACAATTACTTTCTCGGAGAATTTCTCGAGAATGAAAACACACTCAAGTAAACCACTACGATGATTGTGTAGAGCGAGAGTCCTCCTATGCGATAAAATTGGTGGCTTACATTGATTGACTGTGAACTACGAGAAATTTACGAAAGAAGCCATGGTTTACGTTTTCGACATTGGTCCTTATGAACGCTGAGTGTCGATATCACGAACATTTTGTTTTGATAGATCGATGTCCAACTACACACGGCGAATGAGAACGACCCAAATTTGAGTTTAGTTCACTCATAATCGCCAAAAGTGCAGGAGCGATGAGTAAAATTTGTCTCATGGTTTCATGTGGAAAACCTAAAAAATCTGCCGGAAAATGAGGAAATTGACGAAAATTTTATTCAGTCTCGGAGTAGTACCAATAGACTGAGTGAATCCAATCTTAACTTTTCTCAAATTCGGGAATTTTTCCCTGGAAAATCGCCAAATGTCCAACAAAATAATTAATAATTTCAGGCAAAAACCATTGCAATCCATTCGGTTCCTGAGATATTTTTCGTAAAAACGACATTGGATGTTGATACATTTTTATATTAAGTCTCTATAATAGTTTGTATAAGACCATCTAAATATCAATTCAATGAGCCAATTCAGGCACCAAAGTCTACCTCTTAAAATCTCACTAAAACAAATAGTTTTCGATTTTTAGTTCATCCAATAATTATGTACTCCAAATTATATGCTATGCGAGCAAAGTTGATCTTCCATTCATTAGATTCATCCATTTGTGAACGTTTCTGCAACGCTAAGTGACATCCAAGTTGATGAAAACCTATACTCGATCAGATCGGAAATGGCCGTAAACCGAATCGAATAATCATAGCATAATAATGCAGAAAAAATGCCCTACAGCTACGTACCTACCTGCGGCGATCCAAATCACATCAATCCCAAAACGACCGGTTTTTTGCTCCTCGACGGCATGAGTCACAGCACACCAGCGAGCCTCTCCGAACGTGCAGGCATAGGCATTTCTCGTCAGGCTCACGCGAACGAGCCCATTACCTTCCAATGTGCCTGGGCTGCACTATAGCAGTTGCCGCTAGTTCGTTGTTGATAATCACGATGTGATGCGATGTATCATATTGTAAATATTTTCTTTGTTTTTTGCTCCTGCCTATGCGCTTTGTTGTGCATGAATGTACACATATTACCCGCTTGAGACGACGTTCGCGATGATCAACAGGTGTGTTTTCATATATATATAATTCTACGTTGGAGTAGTTTTCCACAAAAAATGGTTTTCCACCGGCCCGCGGATGCGTTGTTGATTTTTTTCCCTGACTAATTCGTTACAAATTGGCGCAAAAAACGAAAGATGGAGCATTGTGATGGGGGAAATTTAAATTACCCTGCGACAACAAATATCAGAAGGGGCAACTGCTTCGGTGGTTGGTGGGAAATCAGATACCGAGCTGCAATTTAAATGGTTGTAATTATTGTAACATGATAGCAGTGCTGTCGAGCTGCGGGTCTGCGGTTGAGGTTGAGCCGGGCTTATTTATCTTTCTTCAGCTGAGTTGAGGTGATAAACGATTTTACCATTTGATGTGATCGTAATTCATTTGTAATTGAATAGTCGGTTGTGTTTAATGAGTTAGCGACTAATAATAGGCTTTTTTTTTCTTTAAATTGCAGGACCACCGATGGCTGATTCAAATGAACTGCTGCATCTGCAGGTGATGCGCAACGAGTTGTACGACTTAGACATTGAAGACATCAAAGAGGATATGATCGGTAGGCGGATCTTCAGCCAAGCCGATATAGCTGATATCCTTGAGGAATCGAACGAAGATCACCGCTTGGATCTGATATTTACCATCCTGGAGCAGAAGCTCCACAAAGGGCAGATCCTGATCGTCAAGGAATTCCTGGAGGTCCTCAAACCCTTCTACAGCTGGATCGTTGAACGCCACGAGAAGAACGTTCGAAATGGCAACAGTGGACCGATCGAAGGCTACCTTTCCTATCGCAACAATACAACCGTACCCAACATCGACGAGCTGAACGTCTACCGACGGGAGCAGCTCTGGGAGATCCGGAAATATCTCAGACAGCTGAAACACGGTGTACACGGCCAGCGGTATCTGTTTGTCTACGGAGGATTCGGGACCGGAAAGTGGACTCTGGTCAGCAAGGCGTGCGAAATCTTTTCGATCGTCGAGCAAATGGGCTACCACATCTTCTATCTCAGTCTGGCCAACTGCAAAGCTGGTGAACAAATCCTGGAGCAGCTTGAAAACCTCAGCATTCAAATGGAAACTAATAACAAGTTTGACGACATCGCCTACGACGGACGATATCCCACCAATGAAATTCACCTGAGAAAGCGACGTCTCAAACACCTGTTCGAGAACCATTTTCGAAACAGTTTGCTAATTCTATCGCACGTGCGCAATCCTGCCTTGATCGAGAAATTTGACCTAAAGTGCAAGACCCTGGTCGTCACCAGTAACATCGATGTCATCAATCAAGTGAACGAAAACGAACGTTTCGTAGTCAAGCTAAACCCCGGATTCACCGAAGACGAAAGCATGGAACTGTTTGGGAAGGCACTCCTTCTGAAGTCGGATCACCTGCCTAGGGAGGCGCACGATATTCATCAGATGTGCCGAGGAAATCCATTTGTGATCAAATTGATTGCACGAAAGATGTCCGAGTATGGTAATGAGTCCAAAGCATCGAATGCGTCTGTTGTGCGAGTGTGGCAGAAATTGGCAAACGATCTGAATAGATATTCGATCACGATCGAAAACACAACCATCCGATCGATATTGGACCAACTGAGCAATGAGGAGCAGGAAGCGTTCCGCAGTTTGGTGATCTTCCGGGATAACGTCAAGATTCCGCAGAGTGTGAGTATTATTTTGAAAACCGTCTTCCATCTTCTCAACTTGAGTAACAAACCCGATTACAAGCAATACCTTTCTTATCCAGGTCCTTCAACGGTACTGGAACCTCTCGCCTGAGAAATCGGAAACCCTCGCCACGAAGCTGATCAACAAAGGCCTGCTGGACAAACGGTTCTGCAAAGATCAACAGATCTTCTACGTCCTGCACTATGTATGTTATAGCTTCCTACTAAAAGAAAACCCAGGTGAAACTTATGCTAACCTCCATCGCCGATTGGTCGAAAGCTATAGGTAATTTGCACTACTACTAAATTACGTTCACCCTCTTCTTGCAGCTGCCTCATCAAAAAAAAATCTTATGTTTATGACCGCACTTTATAAGCACAATGATCTCAATAACCTTCCTAACAAAGGGCTCCCCTATGTTTCATTAGAAAACCATCCTAACATACCGACATTCATTCGTAGAATTCCGCAACCGCACGCTTTCCGCAACCGCACCGAACTGGACCTGATCAAGATCTTCCCGAACGATGACTACTTCCACTTCTACGTCGCCACCCACCTGGAGCATTCCGGAATGCACGATCTCTTTCCGAACCTCTTTACGGACTTTGGATTCCTGGAGCAGAAGGTACGGTACACCGGTCTGCCAAACACGGTCGGTGACTTACGGCTGTTCCAGCATCGGATTTTCACTCGCATGGACAATCCCGACTGCTACGCCGAAATGCTGACCGAGTTTCTTATGGGAGCGGAAGTTCTGCTGTCCAAATCAGCAGACGCGTGTCTGCTTCAGCTGGCTCTGAACTGCACCGGAATGATAGCCGACGAAGCAAAACAGCAAGCCAGCCAGTACAACAACCGGGTTTGGTTCTGCGATATGTGAGTATTGATCGGTTGAGTTGAGACTGGGATTTAACTAAGGGAAAACTAATTTCAGCGATCACACCCATCAGCATCAGTTGGTTCAGGTTCGCAGTGCTCCACACAAGGTGCGCTTCCAGGATACAGGATCGGCATTGGTTAGCCTGGACAACAACCAAATCTCTCTAGTGGATCTCTCGCCATGGTATTCGGCACCGGCTACCATATTCGATGGTAATCAGGGTCGTGTGAAAGACATGCAGATGGTCAACAGCGTCCTCGTTGCACTGGATGACAAGGGAACGTTAAATATTTGGTCGATGAAGAACATCCCGCAGGACCGGAACGCGCGTCAACACGAAAGCGACGGCAACTTCCGCCGAACATCTCAGAGTATAAGATCACTCGATCCTGTCGAGGATCCCTTCGTGAACTTCAGTATTGTCCTCCAGAAAAACCCATCCAACGACGCCAGTATTAAACCAGCCGATTTGTTTGTCATAACAAGAAATGGATTTCTGCATTTTTACACCGGAACTAATAACTTTCAGCAGACTAACCGCCATAATACACGGATCAAAAACACCTACATGATCAAACCGCTGCTCGAGGGTCCCACCAAAATACCCAAACTTCTCTTCCTCACCGAGGACAATTATGGCTACATTTTTAACCTAACCTCAACAAGCATCGAATACCGGTTCGAAGAACCCCAGGTCGTCAATGTCCACTACACGGGTAAAGCATTAATTTCGGTGTGCCCGAATCAAATCAAGTCACGAACTTTCAAGCGAAACGAGCGTAACCAATTGCAAACCGATCGACTCAAGGTGATCTACGAAACACCGAAACACCATCAAAACACCTGCAGCGCAATCTCAGATGACTTTGAATACATAATTCTGGGAACGACTCAAGGGATCTCTATATTCAATATTCAGGATAGCGTGGAAGTTTTACGGACCAACATCAGCCATAACATTCTGGATGTGGACATTTTCTCCCTGGATGACGATCGGTACAGATATATCTTGATCTCCTCGTCCGAAGACAGCGAAAACGTGATCAACATGTACTCGCTTATGGTAAAGGCACACAACCAGCTGGTCAGCAACCAGTACCAACTGCAAGGCAACATAAATTTTCTGGTGGACTTGGATCACGAACCGGTGACGGTGAAAACAGTCGATCGCAAACGCATAATTCAAGAATTGCAGTTCTCTACAGTCCACGAGAGAGAGGACTTTATCAAGTTAACACCGACAAGCGAGAATGGCCCACTAACGACTGAGGTAGAGCAGCTGATTCAGTGCCGATCCGGATTCCACATCGGACTTAAGAACGGTGATGTGCTCCAGTTGAAGGACTGGAGCAACCCGAAGGAAGGACCGGAAACGTTGCTCCGCTTGGGCGAACCAATCAGTTTGCTGAAGTGCTACGACGATCTCCAGCTGCTGGTGGCTGCTACGGAAAACAGATGCATGATCGTTATCGAAGGCCATCCGGAGTACGAAATCATTGACGAAATTTGTGAATGCTATCTGTATTTGGATCGCTACCTGCTGTTAATCTACGAAAACTGTACCATTGAGGTAAGTGACGATGCAATTGTCTACTGGGAAATTGTTCTACTAACAATAACTTGCTACCTGTTCCTGCTGAAAACGAAACACTAACACCACTGGATTTGGTAAGGATGTTATCTGTAAAGCTCTAGGTTGCTTAGGTTGTTTATGCTGATTTCATCAGAACTCCAGCTCGTAACTACAACGAAGTCGTTATCTACTTATCTTCAGACAATTTTCGGCCATTTTAGGCATGCAATTACGACTTATATTTGTTCATATAATCCCGTTCACGACATTTCTATCAGGCCATCGGCAGTTTGAGTAATCTTGCAACCGGTCCCTAATTGTCCACGACCTTTTGAAAGCTATCTACAATTACTCTGTGAATCGATTCAAAGCTTGTCCACAACTTTCCCAAAGTCGTTTTTGGTAACTTCCTCGAGTGAACTAATTGGTGGAATGTATTACAATACTGAACGAACGCCAATCTATATCTCCCACAGATTTTCAACGTAGTAAAAAAGGTGATCGAAACCCGCCTCCGTCAAAAACTTACCTACGCTGCGTCGGCATTCATCAACCAATGCCTGATCATCTGTACAACGGATGCTATCTATCAAATGGGCCTCAATCCGGATGAATACGGTCGCCTAGAAATACAGGTGCTACACGTCTACGGTGCGTCGGAAAATTCCCCACCGAAATGGATTTCCTGCTGTGCTATGTCTACCCACGGAGAACTGCTAGCCGTTGGGTACAGAAAAGGTACCATCGAAGTGTACAATACGGAAGAACGCAAACTGATTACCGAACTGGAGTCCCACAAATGCGAAGTGGCATCACTGTACTTCAGCCCTTGGCATGAAGCCAACAGTCCACACATACTGGTCAGTATTGGAGAGCAGGTCGTATTCTGGAGCGTGGACTACGTCATCAACAATCCCCGGATGGATTCGAACGATTTCAAAAGGCGCTCCAATCGCTACAAATCGCGATCTTCTCTTGCGTCTCCAGCCATCGACATCCACCATCGATCATCATTTGGTAGCCGATCATCAGGACTTTCCTCACCCTTGGCTGCCAGTCCTGCTCGAAATGGATCGTTCACCTTCGACATAGACGAATCCGAACAGCAGTGGCTCAGTAAAGTTGGATCATCCAATAAGCCCCAACTCCTGTCCTGCATCAAGCTGATCGGTTCGGCCAAGAAACTGATGATCAGTAGAGATTTCAAAAAATTCTTCACCATCGACGACGAAGGATACCTCTATTATCTGAGATTATACCAGCCAGATCGGAACCAATTGACTGACAACCGTTTACGACCACCGAACGGATCCTTCCACATCTGACTAATGTCCCGTGGATTTACTCGATCTGTGGTAACCTCGATCTACTACATGCTGATGTACATCTTCTACACTGCCGTATTGCAGTAGAGTTCAAAAACAGTGATGCAAAAAAAGTTCTTCGGTGCCAACAATAGAATTTGACGTCGAAACGTGCAATACTCGTGCTACCGCTTTCGATGTGCGACCACGATACGAGTAGTTCACGGATTTTTACTTAAATATTTTATTTTGTTTTTTGTATAGGTTAATCAATTGCTAGATCGTAAGCGATAAAGACACAACAAACATTGAGTGTGATATGCCATTTTTACAAACGATTGTGAAACGAGAGGAAAAGACGAACAAATTTTCAAATTTACAAAGTATTACCAGTTGGAAGAGGTTTTTACACACATGCATTGCATTAGACTAAGGTAAGATCGCAATTGTGAGAAGAAAGACCTGATTCGAGAGTTGATGTGGTTTTAAACGAAATTTTTAGCAATTTTTAGAAGCAATTCGATAGTAATGAAATTCTAGGATGTTTTTCTTATGTTTTAATATGTCACACTCTGGCATTTACTTATACACACAAAGATTTTAACGCATAGTTTTGCTCAAAATAATGCATTTGATTGCCATACGTGTTGAAGGATTTCTCTGATAGTTCAGTTTAATTTGTATGTAACATCCCTACTTTAAAATAGATATCAATACATACCTATATACTTTCACAAAATAACTTTGTGAACTCTTATTTTCGTCCATCCTAGTTATCCTGTATTTTTCAACAATTTTCAACAATTTTTTTTATTGTAGATGATTTTAAATAAACGTAAATCTAATCACATAGTTTAATATTTATATTTAACTAACGCATTCCGAAAGTAGCATAACGATATTTTAACTGCCATGTGAATTTAAGCTCTCTGAACAATTACCTACTTAAAGTCTACAGGACGGTAATTATCTAAAAAAAACCCTGATTAATCCACCTACCAGTGACAGGTGCCTTCTTCGCATAATATTGAATTTCTATAAAATTCACGAAATCAGAACAAATCTAACCGCTTCAATCAAATCTTCCCTTTCTATTTGGCTACCAAAGAAGGATCAGGCGAATCCAGAGTTCGATGCAAATTTCACCAGTTTGAATCCTCCGTGATCGTGTGCCTTTACCACTCGCTGCACCAGTTCAATGGATTCTTACTTCTTTTTTTATTCTTTATTCAGGAAATTTTTAGTCGTAGGCTAGTTCAGTTCAGTGAAAATCCGTGAGATTTGGCCTTGGTATCCATAACCAACCGGCACTTCGACGCAGTGGATGCGGTTAGCTATCCGGAAAGGTAAAGTTATTGTAATTGTAGATCTCCTCGTCGCGTGATTGTGCGGTTCAGTATATCCACTGCACGTTCATCTTCGTCCGCTATCTTCGGGGACTGACCGGTGATGTCAAAGTCTTCCATCTTGTACATTTGCTTCACCAGATCCGTTAGCTTGATATCGTCGTTTTCGGAACACAGGAAAGCATGGTGCTCGTTTGGTCCGACAACATTCCGTTCAGAGACTCCGTGAATCGTCCAACCCAAATGGGACCGAGTCAACTGCAAACCGTTCAGCGAGTATTTCGAGTACCGTTCAGCAAGTATACCATCTTCAGGGGAAAAACCAGACCAGCGTTGTTCGAACCAATCAGCATACACGGACGAGCATCTTGTATCGCAGCCAGTTTATCCTCATCCAACATCGGGTACAACAGCTTTACTCCTTCAACTTCAAATTTTACCCGTGGCCAATCGATGTACTGCACCGTGCGAAAATTGTTTGCCATTAACCATTTCGCTTGTTCCGACAATCTAGAGATTTGGAAAGATAACATCATCGAACGTTCCTCCTTGTGCGGAATGCCGTTAGTCCATCTATAATTCATGGAAGAGATCGGCCCGTGCAATCCAATTCTTGTCGCTACAGCAGCATCCATCATCGAGAGAGAAGAGCCTTCATCGAAAAGGGCAAACACTTCTTCGACGGCATTTGGACCACGAATCTTCACTTTTCCCACTCGGAGCAGTGTGTTGACGTTTTTACCGTTTCATACGTTCATCTGACTGTATTGAGGATCGGGTCAGCGAGACTGCGGTGTTCGTTGGAATTTGATCATTATGGACTAGTCCGTGATGATTTTTCTCGCAGATCGAACACTTCTTCTTGGATTTGCACCCCAACCCATATTTTTTATATATCTTTATTAAGGAGACTTTCAGCCCTCGGCTGGTTCGTCTCCGGCAGACCCCATAATAGGCTGTTTAAGCTTACGCTATTTCACTAGCGCTAATGATCCACCTGCTAGCAAAAAATGTCTGAGCAGCATAATGTAAACAGGGCATCAGCGTCTACCAGCATAAGATTTCAGGAGCAACTGAAATTAATGCTAGTTGGCTAGTACACTATCATCTAAATCCGCACAGATGTTTGGTTTGGTTGACGTTTCTTCTCAAACTCGCGTGGCGCACTCTCTGTAGTGGTGCATTAAAAAGGCGTATTGGCAAATCAAAGTTGGCACTCGTGGAGAATAGGTGAACTATGAGTGTGATGATGGTTTCAAAATTTTACACAGTGAGGTATACGAGTGCAATCTTAAAATGCTTTTATTTTGAAAATGGAGCATTTTATTTAAATATGATTGCTGCTACAGTGGTAGAAAAGCTCAAATCTATGTGTACACCTAAAAATCTGAAAAGAAATTAATTTTTCTGTATTATTTGTCTATTGAGTAGTCCTTAAGTTTTCTACTAACATAGCATCAACCAGATTTAAATAAAATGCTCCATTTGCAAAATAAAAGCATTTTAAGATTGCACTCGTATACCTCACCGTGTAAAATTTTGAAACCATCATCACTCTCATAGTTCTTCTATTCTCCACGAGTGCCAACTTTGATTTGCCAATTAAGTGTTGCAGCATCTCAGATGAATCAATTGATCAGGAAAAGTAAAAAAGTGTTGCGTGTGTGTCTCAAGGCAAAAAATTATGCTCACAACACTCTTTTTGACGTTCTCCTATTCACCACCAGAGGTTGAATCGATCGTATAGTTTCTATTGGTGAGACGGGTCAATGTTTGCATTATATGTCTTCATCTTTTCTGACTCAGACGGTCATTTGCAAACACGTAGCGATGTACTGGTGCGTTCCTATTCAGTTCTTCTTCCTCAATCTGCTCCTCCAACAACAGGGCTCTGAGTTGGCTATCAGCTTCGCTGATTTTGGAGAACGGACTTTTACTTGAACGTCTTTCAGAAGAGGCAGCACCATGTGAATCACGGGAACTACCGACAGATATGTTCTCCGTGCGGTTTTCATTTGGAGCTGGAACGGACTCATCGTTCCCTCGATCGTTGCTAGATTGCAGGTTCGAATGATCTTGCGGATTACTGTTGACTGGAGGAGTTCGATACATGTTTGAATGACACGGAAGGCTCACGAGAAATTGTTCCAATCGTCTCGGTACTGCGCCCCGAGTTTCTCTAATTGACTGGCATAACTGCGGTTCCACATAGACTGTCGTTTGACATTCGAAGGGCCGAAATGTAGCAATCGTCCTGGTCGTTGACGGCCGGGTGTTTGCTCACCTTGTAGCGGTATTCTGATTAGATATTAAATTAAACAGCAAAGGCGTCAAGGCATCGTTGGATCTTGTTTGTTATTTCGCGAGGCATCCTACCCTTGACGGTTATTGCGGTATCATCTGCGAACAGGAAGAACACGCAACCGTTGCCCAAGGGAGGAATGTCGGAAGTGTAGATGCTGTATAGCAAAGAACCCAACAGACTTCCTTGAGGAACACCTGCTGGGATGGAGAACGTGTTTGAAAGGCATTCAACGATACCCTGAACGACCTTTACTGAAGGTAGTTACGGGTGATTTTAACAAGATGCAAAGGAAAGTTGAAGTTACAAAGCCCATTGTGCAAGACATTGTCAAACGCTTTCTCAACATCTAACAATGCCATGGCTGTGGACTTGGATACAGCCTTACTTCGGATGTTATTCATCATCCGTACTAGCTGATGATTTGTGTAATGCCCTTTCCTGAACCGGAACTGTTCCGGTAGGAGAAGGTTGTGTTCCTCGACAAACTTGAGCAAATGATTGAGAATAATTTTCTCGAACAATTTGCTCAGCGCTGAAAGGAGGCTGATCGGTCTGCAGCTTGAAGCTACCGTTGAGTCCTTCCCGGGTTTGCAGATAGGTATGATTTTCGCTGTCTTCCAGATTCTTGGAACGCAGTGCAGTTCCAAGCATCTGTTGAAGACAGCAGCCAGAGTGAACCTTCATGATGAGATTTTTCAACACTAGGTTGAATATTCCGTCGAACCCGGAGGCCTTCATGTTTTTGGTGCATTTCAGCGCTGAGCAAATCTGTTCCACTGTGATTCTATCCTCCGGAGGGATAGCACAAGGGGAGGAATCAAGGTTGAGTACGCATTGCTCAACCTGAACTTCGAGCGGATTTTGGATGTTGAAGCCAAGCAAGTGCGATTTGGCAATATGCTCACCAATCGCATTTGTTTTCTCTTGAGGGGTGATAATGAGTCGATCGTCATCATATTCATCTTTGAGTGGTGGAATGGGTTTGGGGTGCGTCTTTAAGACCTTGGCAACTTTCCAGAATGGTCTGGAGCGGTCGTCCAGATTCTGGACAAGCCGCCCGAAACTTTCGTTCCGCAGTGTGACCATTCTGGAAGCAATCTCCTTGTTCAGATCGGCCATTTCACGTTTCCTCGCTAGATCTCCGATTCTTTGGAACTGGCGTCTACGAACATTTCTCGGGCGAATCAAGAGTTGGGTGTGGGAATCAATGACAATAAACTTACCCCTCATATGAACACGTCGGACGCACGCCTCGTCAACCACGGTTATAGCTTGGTGGAGTCCCTCCAACGCTCGGTCGATGTCCTCCACGGTTTCAAGCGGCGGGTTGTCAATGATGTGTCTGTCTACCACGCGTTCAAACTGTTCGGTGGTAGTCCTTGCCCAGGCTTCGAGCAAGGGCAACGTTGTAGCCCAGTTCAGCAACCACCGGTTGGTGGTCGAAGCTTAAATCGTTGATTGCCACCGGCTTGGATAGCCCGAAGCTCGTCAAGAAGAAGTCCAGCGTGAAGGCAGAGATGAATGTCGGTGAACTGTATATAGCCCATGCTGCGAGTGGTTAAATAATAGACTACCGTTCTGGTTCCGTTGGTAGTTGCGCCATGCTTTGTGACGAGCATTCAGATCACTCCCAACAATGAATCGGGAGCTCGTGCGAGTAATAGCGGTGGGGTTGTTCTTGAATTTCATCCCTAATCCGTTGCTAGCATCACACTGGCGAGGACAATACACGGCTATGACCGCAACACCCCCCCCCCCCCCATGGAGTCGGTGCGATCAGGAAACCAAAAGCTGTCGCCCGATTTGAGATGGGTCTCTGTTAGCAAGCTCGAACTTTTTAGCTCGTACAGAGCAAGCGTTCCAAGTGACGATAGTTAACGGTTTAGACGTTATACTGAATGATAAACTTACCGAGCACTTGGATCCGGGCTTGTTGCGGCGCTGACGAAGAGCGTTGGTCATGTCGACCAAAATCTTCATCAGCTCATCCGCAGAGAAGAGATCGGTATTGGCGTTTTGTGCTGGTTATTGTCTCCAGAACCCAGGGGGGACAGAGAGCTTTGTCCAGCTGAGGCACTAGACGTTTCTTGACGGGTCCCTAATTGCACCCGTGCATTTGCTT